CTCTTGACTGAGTTTATTTCCTCTGAAGCGATGATCAAGCAAATTTGCCAAAAAATGAGCTGGGGTTAAAGCCATTTCCATACGTTCCTTCACTTTATTCATATCACTTACCAAAAATTCCCCATTTGCTTGTTCAGTCTCGAATGCTTCTAAAAGTTCTAGCCATATCTCTGTAGGCTCTCCTATAGTGCAAGTGTTTCTTTGGACTTTGTCCAAAGCAACTGCGATATACTTCAATTTTTTCAAATAGTCTTGGGCATTTGTCTTTATTGGTGTCGTTTACAAGCTTTATTATATCCTTATAATCTATTATTTAGTGGACTAATATTAAAGATTATTTATTATATCAAACATTTTGAATTAATCTCTGAATTAATATTATGTTTGAAAAAAATTGATTTGAACAATGTATTTTTTTAAGTTTTATTTGTTTAAATCATAAAATTCAGAAACAAAAAAAAACAATGTTTGAAACAAAAAAAACCGTTTAAAACAAAAAAAACATGTGTTTTGTATAAAATTAAAAAATACATGTTTTTTTTCAACCCTGCTATATATGCGACGACGAACATTGAATTACATTTATTGAACACACACGATAAGAATTCGAAAACAAAATCTTCTGAATTTGCATTGTCCTTCATATAAAGATATGCACATAATATCATTCTGAATATTCAACAGAAAACAACTACTTTACGGGCTATTTGCCACGTCGAGCATCCAATTATATCTGTTGAATATCCAAAAAGAGAGCATGAAAAATCAAAATCCTTTGAAATCAGTCTACGATAATAGTTATTTATGTAATAAGGATCATAAAGACGATCATTATGGTACAAGTCGTGAATGTTATCGGGCGAGGCGTAGCCGAGTCCGATAACACGGCGTGTGCCATAATGATTGTTTATGATTCGTATTACATACAAAATGTTATCTGATGGCATTTATATCAATACATTTTCGAAAAATTCAAAACTGCATTTTCGACATGTCACAATGACAACTATTTTTAAAGGAGTAAGTATTGTGTAGTTTCAAATATTAGTAGGTGAGTGAGCTGTGCTTTGCCATTATATTGATATTACAAATTGTAGTAATTGTTCTTTTACCATTTATAATAAATAGTTTTGTACATAGTTATGCATTTTGAATAAACTTTTTTGACCAAACCATTACATGTTTTCCTTATAGAATTTCATTATGGTACTTAGTACCATAATGAATTCATTATGGTACTTAGTCCCATAATGAATTCATTATGGTACTTAGTCCCATAATGAGCTTCCTTATGTCATCAAAATTGAGTGACATAACGTTGTCATTATGACATGCCATCAGATAAATAATAATATGTCAAATTCCGATTTTTTTGCTAATCCTGGTTTCATCTTCAAAACCCTACTTTTTCACGTATAGGGACATGGAGAACCATTTGAAAGGATTCTTATTGTCTTTCAGATTATTTCAGATTATATGATAATATTGAGGATGTTTTTTGTAAAGAAAAAAATTGAAAATTTTTTCAATAAATTATTGGTATTTTATGTGTTTTTCCTAAAATTCAAATTTGCTCTCAATCATATTATATAGTGCTTTATTCGAAGTAAGAAACAAATTAAAGAATTTTTGATGACATTTAGGTGATACACTGAAAAAAAAAAGATGGTAGTTATTACCAAACGTTTAGTAAAATAGGCACCATTTGAAATTATTTCGAAACATACAGGGTGTCCGCAAAAACCATAAAACACTGAAGTTAAACTTTTTTCTATCGAACACCCTATATATTATTTCATTTTGAGATTCTCCCTGATGAGCTGATTTCAACGACCCATCATACTTGGGATCTAGCAGTTATAATTACTGAAATATAGGGTGTGAAAAATCGAGATTTTCCAAGTTCAAGAATTTTTTGTGTCGAAACTATTCATAACTGGTCAAAACGGCTTACATGTCCCTATCTCAACTTTTGATTAACTATCTACTGATATTTAATTGGGACATATATCGGGTGATCAAGATTCTGAATTCTGCACCACCCTGTATTTGTTTCAATTAAATGTCAGTAGATAGTTGATCAAAAGTTGAGATAGGGACATGTGAGCCGTTTTGACCAATTATGAATGGTTTAGACACAAAAAATTCTTGAACTTGGAAAATCTCGATTTCTCACACCCTATATCTCAGTAATTATAACTGCTAGACCCCAAGTATGATGGATTGTTGAAATCAGCTCACCAGGGAGAATCTCAAAATGAAATAATATATAGGGTGTTCGATTGAAAAAAGTTCAACTTCAGTGTTTTGTGATTTTTAGGGACATCCTGTATTATTCAAAATAATTTCAAATGGTAGCCTATGTTGACATGCAACTTCCTAGAGAGGAGGAATTCCAAGAAGATAAGTGGTTAGCCTTCTAGAGACCGAGGCGTTACTGGTGTCCCACCCTGTATAATACTATACTATATCAAATATATTACCACTACAAAATAGTATAATACTCATAGTTTGATATAGTACAAATTTGAAGTGGTATTATTTGATGAATGTAGTGACTGGCGCCTATTCTACTAAACGTTTGGTACATTCACTACCAACTATTTCTCTGAGTGTAATAACAAAGAAATTATTTTCGATAAATCTTATGATTAGCGTGCTGTTCCTTATATTCGTTGCCCGAGTGATAGCACCTACCAGTGACCCAAAAATATCTGCTAAAATAATTCAACAAGATAAGAACAGGTCGTCCATTAACAAATGGACCAGACTGAATATCATGTCATTGAAGGATTACCGGCCTTCGATCATTGATGTTGTTGAACAATAAACAATATTACTTCTTTGTTACTGAAATATTAAAGAAGAATGTACACAATTGTATTTCTGGCATTCCAAGTTCAATTATATATTGAAATCGATTGCCGAAATTGAATATAATTTATATTCATTCACTTTCACTAAGTTAGATAACGATACACACATGAGCGTACCGAGAAAACTGGAGTGAGGGAATGAAAATTTAACTATACCTTACCATCAGGACAGGCCTCTCACTGAAGTAGAAACAACATCATCAGTGACATCAATCAAGCAAGAAAGCAAAATCGCAAAGAGAATATCTATACCATGTGCAGATTTCAATTATGATAACGTAGATTTGATAGAACAATATTCAATTCTTGACAACTGAATATACAATAACGAAACAAGGCAACATAATCAGAATGAAAACTTTCATCCTACATGCTTGATAAAACACATATTGTCGTGAAACAGCGGCAGTAATTAAAAAACAAAGATATGACATAGAATAGAATATAATAGAATATTTATTTCACTAAGTTACAGATTTTATGTTTTTGGCAGGTCAGATACAATAGACATGTTGAAATGTAGTACATAAAAAAAAACACATTAAACTGTAGTGGAATAAAAAACGCATTGAAAGTAGTAGAATAAAGTCATACATACAAATACAAGGAATCGAGTAATAAAACAAACTGGAATCAGTGACATATAGTTGAAAAACAATCATTCATAGGGACTCATCGAGGGGCGTCAATGGAATAAAAACAGTGACGGAGGATATGACGTTTCAATTTTGAAACAATTCAAAATTCAAAACCTTGAGCTCCTGGTTTGTTCAATCTGTAACGTAATAGCCTTGAATTATTTGCATAACGAGTATGGTAATTATGAAAATCAGAGTTGGTACAAAACGAATTCCTGTTTTGGTGTATCTCAATAACTGTAGCATATATGAATAAGGATGGTATAGGCATAATAAACAGTTCCTTAAATATTTGTTGACAGTGATCTCTGTAACCACCACCAACTATAATTCTGATAGCTCTTTTTTGCATTTTGAAAACATTCATATCGTATGAAGAGTTTCCCCATAAGAGTATGCTGTAATTTATGTGAGAATGAAAAAATGAAAAATAACATGTTCGAACAGTATTGAAGCATAATTGGTTCTTCAAATTACGCAAGAGATATATCTAACTTATGACATAGCTGATCAACATGAGATGACCAAGTTAGTTTGTCGTCTATTTCTACTCCAAGAAGTTTGACAGTTTTTCCATTGCCTGGATTTCTAGTCGAAAAAGACAATTCCTGTGTCTTTTATCATTATTCAATTTCAAATTGTTGGCACTGAACCACCTCTGTGCTTTACAGAAAGAATCTGCCAAAGTGAGAGAGAGACTGTCTGCATCAATTCCAGTATTGAGGAAAGTTGTGTCATCCCCATAAGCTACACATTTATTTGGAAACAAAGAGTGAAACAGATCGTTTACATGAACGATGAATAATGATGGGCCCAAAACCACCACTGTTATAATTAGTAGTATACGTATTTATCAATGACGACTTGACATATGCTGTCATAGTCATGGCTATTATGTTAATTAGGATATCCCTTTTCGTGGACAATAGGTCCATATTTCATTTTCTCAGAACGATAATGATTGAAGTGCTCTCGGTGGTCGAGAGCGTTAAGGCGCTGAGTTCGTATGGGGACTCCCACCGAGACCTAGGTTCGAATCCTAGTTAGGCCATGGATGTTTGTGTTTGTATGTATACCTAACCCCGCACAAGTTTCGACTTATGGGGCGTTTGGTCCCAGTGCTGGGACTAACGAGGTATGCAATTGCGAAGAAAAAAAATATCATTATATATATAATCTTGGTCCCTAGGTAATAATGATATTCGTTACTACCTTGATGTATAAATAGCTATTATTGTACGAGTATTTCACTTGAAGAAGATACTATATTAACGATACATGTGTTATTGAACATTTTGTGGAAATCTTTACATTTACTATGGATTTCCATCTAGTAACGGCCGAGTCAATTCAAAATTTGAAGAAAATTCTCAAAACTCTTCAAGTTATGAAAAATCCAGCAACGCCACTGATCAATGCTGAAGAAGATATCAGAGAAACACACTCCCATAACGAATGAACCAACCGATTTTCAATAATCACGATCAGTTCAGTTGGTGACAATGTTTCGTCAACTTATCGTATTGGTGTCATTAACCTTGGCGATTACAGTGAACATCAGTGAGTGTGCTAGAATTCTAGGAATAATCCCGACTGCTAGTTTCAGTCACCAAGTAGTCTTCAGGCCTGTATGGAATGAATTAGCTAAACGAGGACACGATGTACTAGTGATCACAACGGATCCACAGAACGATCCAAGCATTGGAATACGAGAAATTGACATCAGCTCTACAGCTTATAAGCTATGGCACGACCTCGAATACATTCAGCGCATAGAAAGGCACAAGGCAAATCCATTTATGCTGATAAGACACTTGAAAGTCAGCAGTTCTATTTTATGTGACAATGAACTACAGCATCCGGAAATTCAAAGTTTACTGAACAATCAAACTGAACACTTCGATTTGCTGATGACAGAATTCTTCCACCCCATTATGACAGCCTTCTCTGTTCGGTTCAATTGCCCCTTCATAGGCATTCAGAGTATGGATTTCCAGAATTATTATCATGGAGATAGCGGAAACCCGACACACCCTGCAGCTTTCCCTGAAATCTTTTCACCATTCTATGGCAAGCTGACTTTCTCGGAGCGCATTTTGAGTTTTCTGTTGAATACGCTCATGTACTTGAATAACCTAATCCCAGGTGGTGAAGATGAAGTAATTAAAAAACATTTCGGAGATGATATGCCCCCGATGAGGGATATAATGTATAATTTCAGTATGATGTTTTTGAATGTACATCCAGCATTTTACGCAAGGCCCATGGGACCAGCATTTTTATCTATTGGAGGAGGAACACACCTTACTCCTGTGAAATCATTGCCACAAGTAAGTGAAAGAGTGTCATTGATTTGGGTATTGTGACCTCATTTACTCCATTTCAGGATTTTAAAGAATTCATTGAAGGAGCAGAACATGGGGTCATATATTTCAGTTTAGGTACCAATGTGAACAGTGAAAGAATTGATCCAGCCAAGAGACAGATATTTCTAGATACCTTCAGGGAACTTCCTCAGAGAGTTTTGTGGAAGTTTGATACGACAGATATGCCTAATATTCCTGCTAACATCAAGATTGTGGACTGGGCTCCTCAACAAGATATTCTAAGTAAGAACTGGTGTAGTAGCACCACATTTGTTTTGAACTTTGATTAAACATTCATTCTTCCACCAACAGGACATCCCAATGTCAAAGTTTTTATTACACAAGGAGGTGTTCAGTCACTGGAAGAAGCAATATTCAGTCATGTTCCTGTTGTTTGTATACCTATCGTTGCTGATCAAGAGAAGAATGCTAAAAGAGCTGCCGATAAGGGAATAGCCATACACTTGAATTATGATGAATTGAACAAAATTACGCTGAAGGCTGCAATTTTGGAAGCCATCGACAACCCAAAGTAAGTTCAAATCATCATCATGACATAAAATCACAATGAAAACCTTTCTAACCTTCCAGATACAAGGAAAGTGCAAGAGAACAAGCTGAAATATCTGTTGATCAGCCAATGACTGGTATAGAAAAAGCGATATGGTGGACAGAATATGTACTGAGACATAAGGGAGCACCTCATTTCAGAAACCCTATTATTGATTTGCCTTATTATCAGTATTACTTGCTAGATGTATTTGGTTTCTTGATCGCTTCGCTTTTGATATCGTTGTGGATTTGTCGTAGGGCAATAAGGTTGGTTTATAGCTACCTCAACCGCTTGCTTAACCCTGGCGTGAACAAGAATATTAAAATTAAGAAAACATAAAAACTAGTCTATCAGGTTCTTGGTTTCCATATATTATATATATATATATATATATATATAAATCATAGCTATACTATAATTGTAATATAACTCAGGAAACAAGCTGTTAAGTGGAGTATAAGAAAGATAAACGAAACTAGAGGAAATAAAGTCACTGTTCGTTGATCTCAGTTGGATTGCTACCTTTTTATTTTATTATGACGTATCAATATAAGCAAGTACCAGATAACTACTTACTATAAAATTCGTCACACGAGAATATATTTATTCATACAATGGCGATATGACAAACATGATAAATTCATTTCTTTAAATTTTTTGGGATTTTCTGTTCTTGTATCTATAAATAAAAATACGAGTATTATTTCAATATATTTGAACTAGTCTATGGTTGATTTGCGCCAAAATGTCACTGCATTTGAAAATTCAACTAGAGCGCCTCACAGAAAAAGTCAGTGATGATGTTTATTTGTTATATAAGCACATGCAGCATGATCTACAGAATATGGAATAACAATAAATACATAGTAATTCACAGAAGTTTTACTGCTTCCTAGATTAACCTACAGACAGTAAATGATTCAAAATATATTTCGAATGTGGTAGGCAAGACGAAGTTATTCAGTTATTTTTCACAAAATCAGGATCTTGCGGTATTTAGAACCCATTTTTTCGAAGGAATGTTGAGTAGAGAAATATCTAATTTCGTAAACATTAGTGTCTGTACAGTAGACTGTGCTCAATATTCAATATGAATTAAAAAGTCTCACGAAAACGACTAGTCCAATTCGACCCTGTAATTTTCATAATAGTTCAGATATCAGAGTTAATGGAAAACGAAAATGTTCCGAACATGTAAAGCTACAATTCAATGTTAGAAACTGTTTTTATTTATTGTCAATAGTTAACTACTTCAGAGCGTGCATGTCTCGAACAACACAAAAATGTCCTTACTTCCTTTCCAATTCTGAGTATTATGTGACGAATCTTCTCAAAACAGTTAAAAGTGAAATGTATTCGTGATAAGAAATACTATCGATATCAAGCGGAGTTCCAGTGGAAACTACTGATGTCAAACCTAGTGTGAATTTTGCCCGCTCCCCTAACTTTACCGATATGAGTGTATAGAAGAAGACATATTTTCTAATGTTGTCATTATTCTTACCCATGCATTAAATAGCCCTATTACCCTCTCAAGGTCCACATTTGAATAGGAATGAGCAAAAAAAATTGTTTGTGGAAAAACAAGGTACGAATGATTGTTAAACTCATTGTTCCTGTTTTGGAACTAGGGTCCACAAAGTTTCTCTATATTTGTGTTTTTTCATCCCTTGGAGCGTCCGAAAGGACATCCTTGCTAATATGTTCGAAAAACATCATGCGTACCGTAGGCAGTGTAAAGAGAAAAGGTAGGTATTGGATAGTTTTTTCCTCTGGTATAGTATTCCAAAGCTTTGCCTTGCTATAGACAAACGAGATTTAGTAAAGAGTAGTTCGACATATTTCGAGATTGACGACGAGAGGATGTGCTGACTGGGCTTGTCGAGTACATCTGACAGGTGTTGCTAGAGATGAAATGATAGTAGAGATTTCTGAAGAATATTTCCCGTGGAATCAATCTACTCCATTACAGACGATGTCTGTCGCTATCGCTTTGTAGCGAGGCCGTTTTTGACTCAAACAAATATTGCATCAAAGGTGCATAGTACGCTAAATGTCCATTGTTCCACATTAGGAGCGATGAAATATTCTAACCATTTACCACTGTTCCCGCTTCGTAACATTGGGGAATATTTGGATTACAAAGTAAAAAAGTTATTGTCCAATGTTGTCCAGAATTAAAAAAACTCTTGCAGAAACAAATCACTTGTTGAATGACAAATTATGGTGAAGCTGCTGTTTCTATCTCTGATGAGAGTACATGGATGAAGCCATATATTTGTTCTGAGCATAGACTTCATTGTTTCAGTTTGGGAATAGTGATCTTTTGAAATAAAAACTGGAAGATTTCAAATGTCAAAACATTTATAGGTATCTATTTTCAGCGTTCCTAGTTATTAGGAACATGAGCCGTTAAGAGGGTAACTGACTGAATCATTGAATCGGAATTTGAAGGAAAATCGATGGAATAACACTCGACATAGATAAGTCCACTTAAGATGTTAGTTCCACTCTTAATAACGACATTGAGATTGTTTTATAGATTTTGCTCTTTTATTCAAAGATGCAAAGCTAACGAAACACCCAGTATACTATTTTAGATTTAGAACACATCATGCTCTCCAACTATTAAAACAGCCAGAAAAATTCAGAGATTTAAAAAAATTCAAGCAACTGTAATGTGAATAGGACGACACCCTGTATTATAAAATTTTCGAAACTCACTTTCGAATATGAGAAGTGCACAAAAAAGTGTTTCACACTCTTCCAAATACAATTTTTTCGACGAAATTCGGATAGGTGAAAATCGAAAGTGTTTTCACATTTCAGTACCGATTTTGATTTGATTTGTTATATGTTCGAATAATTTTCACTCAATAATACTCTTATGCATCGTCCAACCGAAAAATCGAGATTTCAATGACAACAGTTTCTAACTTGCTTTATGGATATTGAACCATGGGGATATCCCTTTTAAACTTCAGTTTTCTACCATTTGCTCGTGCAATTTCTGCTTGGGACCCCATGAGTGTAGTATATGAACTTATCTCAGATCAAGGTCTCAGAATAGATATCTATATAAAATACAAATTTTGATTGTCTTCGTTTTCATCAGATCAGCGATTTCTATACCAAACGAATTGACCTATTTTGCTGTGAAATATATTAAAAAACAATACAATACTCCTTGGTGTATTCAAAAAATACTCAAAAACGTGTCAATATTTTTTAAATTGGAAGGTTTGTTTTACAATATTTCATAATCAGTTTCTTTTGATTCATCTAGTTGATCCAGATTTCAAAAATTACATCGAATATTGAGAGAAGTAAACAATTCCATAATGGAGTGTAGTGCTCAAAACATGCCCATCGCTTCAAGTGATGGTGCCGTACCAGACTAGACAATGAAACATTTCTGTCTTCTGTCTATGCATTTAGTGGCCATGTGGACGAATCACAATGAGTGATTGATATTGGTAAACAGAGATGGATGGACTTTCACAACTGGTGGTGAGGTTGGAATTCCAACGAAAATTGTCACCGTTGAATATCACCAATCTCCATCCCAAGTGATTTATGAAACTATTTTGAATAGTTTCTTCTGGAATTATTGTCCAAATTCTCAGGTAAGTTCTGACTATGCAACTCGCTGAAACAATGATATTGATATGTACGAGAACAGATTCTGCATTGTATCGAGAAAAGCGAATATATCTATGACACAGACTCAAAATACTCCCAGAGGCTGGTGGAGTCTTCTCAAATCGAATTTATGAAGCCTATCAATGACCTACAATATTAGGAAATCTTCCAGAAAAAGATTTACCAATATTTTTTGTCCCCCTCTCATAGAATTAACTTAAAAAAAAAAAAGGTGAAAACGATAAAAGAATTATTGATATTTTATGATAATCAGGCTTATAGCACTCTTCGTTCATCATAATTTTGATAATGTAGTATAAGGGGCCCAACGAAATGAGTGAACCCGAAATATTTTTTACCAAAAAACATTGAAACGAATAACAGTTATGTTCACTGTTTCATTATTCAAAGATACCCTAATGAATCAGTAATGTCTTGAGAATACAATTCAAATCAAATGATTTTTACTTGGCCTCCATTGAAATAATAATTCGAGAAGTGATGAAAACATCAGTGAAGGGAGTGAATATAGCTGAATTCACAGCATAATTAATAGTTGCCCCGTTTTAAAAATAAACATATATTGTACATACATATTCAGCCATTAACTTTGGGACACCACGCGTGATTCAACGTAGAGCAGCCTCAAAGCAGAGCTCAAAGTTAACCTGGTTGGCGTTCTACTACTTGTGCATCATTCTATTTGGGCCACTTAGTATAGAGTTTGTAAAACGAACAGTAGCACCACGAGTAAGGTTCTATTTTACCTGTTCCATATCTATAATCTCAGAATTATGTTCACAGGAAACATTACATTCACTGGTATCGTCTCTTTTTGATAGAATGCCGCCCAATTACTGAACTTTTTTATTCCCGACGCACTATGAATGGACGTTAGTACAAAAACTATCCAATACGAACGAACGACCTCTATAATTTGGGTACCTAAGTTCTCAAACGCTTTGTCAATAAGAATTTATATTCTTCAGGCAATAAAGTACATTTTGATTTGATTTGATTTGATTTGATTTAATATTGTCCAACTAGGCATTTCGACCTTCCCAAGAATCCGAAGTGGTGAAGATAACACCAAGAATATTTTTGTCTATACAACTGTCAAAAATAGTGCACCTCTGAAGTATATTCACCAACAAAATGCACTCAACGCAAAAAAAAACCGGCCAGCAAAAAATTTCTACAAATTGAGCGCCCTGTAACTTTTTCAATTCTTGTCCGATTCTGGTGAAATTTCGACCAAATCACAGATTCATAATTCGGAGTGTTAGCCTAAATCATGATTCTTAAAAGAAGCTGATAGCTTGATCATTATACAGGGAAAAACGAAAGTTACTCTCACCGTTAACTTCTTAACGCCCTGTGGCAAAAGTGGGTGGTTCAGCTTCATCATGTTTTGAATTTAAGGGTAATCACTTCTCAACACAATGTTATCTGATTCACGCCAATAACATCTTTTCAAGAAAAGATATGAGTGTTTTGAGAAAGTATGGATTTTTTAAATTTTCATCAACAATAATTCAGAACCCCATTCTCCAACCTCCTTCACCATTTTTTAATATGAAGTGTGATCCCTTTTTATCTCTTCTAAACACAATGGTTCTTGATTAACGTTGATATCTTCTTTTCAAGAAAAATTACAAATGTTTTAAGAAAGTATGGAAATTCAGGATTTTTATCAA